CCCTCGTGCTCCACCATATAGAAAGACCTCCAAAGCAATCTCTCGATTCCACATAAAATTCCCTCTACGAGTCATACTTTCTTTTGATTTTTTTCAACTTGTTACTAAGCATTCTAGTCTCTATCAAAAAAATAAATGAGGTTTTATATTTCAAGGTGTAGTCCTTCAGATTCTCAACTGCTAAGGCCACCCTTATGCCTTAACAGTTCCAAGATATAATTTTCATGGCTTCTCAGGGGCTATTAAAGGCCAGTAACCCTCACCCTCAGCCATGTTTCTTCTAGCATCCTCTAAAAAATCATAAACTCCACCATTCTCATTTGCCAGCATATTCACTGAGATCTCCTCAAGACAACTTCTTTCATTTGTACTTCCCAACTTACTCTTTAATTTACTCATTTGCTTCCCCATAGATTTCTTGTTTATCCTATCCTTTTTCAACTGCAAGGCATAATTTGACACTGCCAAGCTTGCATAACTATCACTCTCCTCAATTCTTTTTTTCTTAATCGCTTCCCCACCAATTCCTCCTAAACGTTCCTTTTCAAATTCACATCTTGAAGTTTCTTCATAATTTATGAATCTGTTCCTGTCTAACATTCTAATTTTTAGATTATAAATCACTTGTGGAAATTTGAAGTTTGATTGAGGTGTTATAATTTGGGTTTATCTTATTTTGAGGTTTGATTTGGGAATTAATTGAAATCGAGATTGCTTGAGGTTAACTAGATGTTTTGGCATTAAGTCATGGCTTAGATTGGGCCTACAATGATGTATTAGATTTAAACTGAGTCTGTGATAGGTGGTGGGCCAGATTTAGGCCTAAATACTTGGACTTAAGCTACGGGCTCGAGTTTGTGCTATGAGCTGCAGTGCACGGCCAAAATTTTAAACTCCCTATTTCTGTCATTTAATAGAATAGATAGGAGGGGGTTTGGTTAGGGTTCTGTTTGAAAATTTAAGGAATCTAATAAGGCATTCAATTCTTGAAAGTTAAGGCTTGATTTTGGTGCATTAAAGGCTTCTACCTTCTTCTCTCCATTTTTAGCTAGATTATATTTTTCATCTATGATGCTATCCAACCTTTGGTTTCAAATTTTTTTAGGTGTTTTGAGGTTAAAAATAAGTGCAGTGCAAGCTGTTTTGATATTATTTGTGGTGATATGAGTGATGGATGAAAAACCCTAGATGTTGCTAGGTGATTTTAGTGAAGATTTGGATATATAAAGGCTAGATAAGTAATTAGAGAGCATAATGATAATGATTTCAAGTGTGTTCACGGGTTTAAATGAGTGTGACAGCTTAGGGTTAATTAGATTAATTAACATAACCTTAGGATTAGGGTGTGATTAGTGGATAGACACTTTGGTTAGTATTAATTAGCACTTTAATGACTATAATTAGTATTGTATTGCTTGTAGATTGTAATAGAAACACCATTAGAGGTGATAGTTCGTTTGTTTGGGGAGCCCTAATAGCAAGGAGTAAAGATAACTATTATTGTTGTGTGATTATGTGTGTATTGTGATGGGTTATATGAATTATTATGTTGTTTGGAAACAAATTAATGGGTGTTTTGGTTCTAAGCAGTGTTATGAAGAATATAAAGTGTTGTCATGCAAATTAATGGTCGATCAATCTTCATTATAGGTATAAACCTAAAGAAACCCCTTGCCATCTTATTGTTCCAGTTTGGACAATAGTCAATATTGATATAAAATATTATACAGCAAAAATATGATAAAATAAAGTAAGGTTAAGTGGCAAATTTGCATCCAAACTATAGGTCAGAAATGATAGAGATCCTAAACTCATTTTTTATGCAATGTTTTCCTTTAAAACAGTACAATGATGCCCCTACTGTTAATAAGTGTTAATCTTGATTATTGGTTGATAAAAAAATTACAAAAACTAATTTCAAAAATTATATAAAAGGATCAAGAAAATTTTTTTTGACCTTTATTTATAATTTTTAAGTCATTTTTTGTAATTTTTTTATTTATAAATTTCATTATGTTAGCTTATATTACTCCTTCCGGTCATAAAATATGGGAGCTAGTTAGAGGATTTTTTTTGATTTTAAACATAAGACCACAATCTATTATGTCTTCTATATTTATTATTTTTTCAAACTACTCTATAATTATATTTCCATACGATGTGTGCAAATATTTAGAAAGAGAGATATTTTAGAAATTCAAAACATAATTTTTATGAATAACTAACCTACTCAATTTGTTAATCTGTATGAATTAATTAACCAGTCTAGAGTGTACATTAAAATATGCTTTTTACTCCAAAAACTGTATACACAAATGAGAGCCCAACAATTCTCTTATAAATAGGGCGGACAGAATATTTACTGTCCAAAGAAGGAGATGAAGAAGTGCGCGTGCACAGAGAGAACGTGCGGCTTTGGCCATTCCCACAGGACTTGGATCCAGCATGTTCTTATCCTTGCATTGAATTTGAGGAGCTCACTAGAATAATGATATGCTTCTAAATTCAAATAACATATATAGAAATACTTATGTATCATTTCTAATGAGATCCCATATCAACAATGAGATTTGAGTTTATGACTTTGCAAGTTATAGGTCAAAGTTTTGACCAATTTTTATTGGTGAATTTATGAGTATTGTATATGTGTGTGTTAAAGGGATTTGGGTGTGGAGTGGACTACCGGCTTTAGATTATTGGAAGTCCTCTCATTCTTTTCGTGCTCTGCTCTGTTCCAATTGTTCTCTAGTAACTTGTTGCCCCCTGTTGCTCCCCCCCCCCCCCCTTTTTTTTCCTTTTTGTAAATGGAAACAGATAGTGTATGATTCCATAAGTAAAGTCAGCTCAGGAACCGTGCAAGCGAACAAAGAAGCCACTAAAAGTATGCAAATTATTTCAAAAGTGTTGAAAGGAATGCCCCAGGCTATGATACTAACTAGAAGCTGGATGAGTTTTTCCAGGGTGGGAGAGCATGTTTGTTTCTTGAGTATATATTTTTTAAAGAGCGTCTAGTATCACAAATTATTTAGTGTAACATTTGTATCCTTAAAATAATTAAAATGTAACATTTTTTATTATGATGTTAAATATTTACAAATGTCAGTTAAATAATCAAACCACCTTTTCCCGTGTTATATTAATGGTTAATGTCTATTATTTAATATTGGGGTAAAAAAGTTACATTTTAATTATTTTATGAGTAAAAATGATAAATAGTTTAAGGTGTTAAATCCTCCTTAAAGAATATTTTAAGAACAAAAATATATTTTCTTAATGTGATATTTTATGATTCTTGTCCTTGTACAACAACCATGCTAATATTTTACTAATTGCTTTAACTTTAACTCTTTTTTGGAAGAAGAGAAAAATAGGGAGGGAAAAATTAAAAGGAAAAACTTTTAAGAATAGTAAAGAAATTAGTATTTTTTAAAATTTCTTCCTTTAGTTTTTTCTTCTTCATTTTTTTTCTTACTTTTTTTTCCATCCAAACTAAGCCTAAACGCCATATTTCATTTCATCTTGGAAGGGAGTCATTTTGTCATGAAAAAGAAAACGAAGCATCTGGATACAGAGTAAATGAACAAGGCGTGTACATGCGCGCATACGTGTGTATATATCATAGATTTTTTTCTTTCGATTTCAAGCATTTGTTCTGCCTAATTACATGAGGCATGACGGTTTATCACAACAATTATATATATATATATATATATAAAAGCTTACGTAGATTGGGTTCTAAAAACTTGTTAAAATCAAAATATATTTTTAAATTTAATAAAATGCTTATAAAAATACTTACAACTCATCCACTAATGAGGTCCTTTATATTGATAGTAAAATTTTATCCCATGACTTTGTAAATTATAAGTCAAATTTTCATTAACTATATCAACTTTTATTGGTACCACTTAACAATTAGTTAGACAATAGATTTGTCTTGTTTGGACTTGATGAGTTCTTTTTCTTTTGATTATCTTTATATATTTTTTTTATTAAAAGTAATTTTATTTAAAGCAGGTATTAAATTTTAGCCAATCTTTTTATAAGAATTTGAACTTTGGCTCTGTTATTAAGATTATTGACCTCTTGAAGTTTGACTTTTCATTTAGTGCAAAACTAAGCATCAGGCTCCTGCTAATCTTTATATTGTAAAACCAACGCTTGTTCCCTGCATTTGTGTAAATATTTAGTATCTTCAAATCACAATATTATATATATATATATATATGTATATAACAAATTTTTTTTTAAAAAAATAAGGTGATAGATAGTAATGTAGCAGTATTCACTTAGTTTACTTTTGTATAAGATAATGGTTGATATAGATGGGTAAACAACTAATTTGCGATCAATTTGTTTTTATCATTTCAAACAGATAATTTGTTTTTTCAAATTTTATATTAATATTTTCAAAACCATATAAAATTTATTAAATTTTAAATTTAACCAGTGCATAAATAAAATAAAAAAGTTGTTTTAAATGCTATTTATTTATGAGCATTAAATACCTTGTATTGAAGGAATCGTGAACTCCCCCGGGAAAAAAAGTGAAAATCTCTAACTTTCAGCACTACTCCCTCTGATGTTTTCTATAAGTATCCTGGAACCTGATTCTTCCTCTCTGTTTTTCTTTTTTTACTGGGATAACAGGGACCTGACGTTTCCCTGTAACATTCGAAGAGTTTACAGTGCTGGGTCGAATTTTTCTTGGGCCACGTTCGCCGACAGGCCCAGGCCTGTGAGGGTTTAAAATTCATACTCTATTAAATCCACTTTATTGATAACTTTTTAAAAGAATAAAGTGATATAATTTATAAATTATTAAATTAATAATGACACTTATTTTAAATAAAATGTTAATTTATTTACTTTTTAAAAATTATATTTATAATTTTATTAAATTTTATTTTTTATTTTTATTGTATTGATTTTGATAACGCCGGTAGAAATGATTTATAAAATAAGGTAAGAGGGAGTAATTTTTTATAATTTTATGCAATGCTACCGGTACCGCCACCGCCACACGTGAAGAATACAAGTCGCATTTTTCTTCTCACTTTCTCACCGATCAGTTCACTGATTCCCATCGGAATCGGCAGTCTGAGATAGCGTAGGCATGTTCGTTATATCTTTCTATTATATATTGGAAACGTCATGTAGAACATTTTTTAACTCAATACAACTTATCTCAGAACGCTTAGTATCATCTGCAGAAGAAGGTCGGAGGAAAATCAGAAAATGTTGGGGAAGGCCTTATTGGCTGCACTGATATCGCTAGTGGCTGCATCTGCTACTGATCCATATAGCAGAGATGATTTCCCGCCTGACTTCTTCTTCGGCGCAGCAACTTCAGCTTTTCAGGTTCTTCTTCTTCTTATTCTCTGATTTTCTTGTTCATAAGAATATAATTCCTTGTTTCATCTGTATACATGCACTAAAATTTTCATTGAATTCTGATATCCTCAAAGGTTGAAGGTGCAGACGATGAAGATGGAAGGACTCCCAGCATATTCGATACCTACGCCCGCACTGCATGTACCTTCTCCCCTATCATATTCACAAGCTTCCAAATCTTTCACTCCATCACATTATGATTTCTCAATCGGCTTACTTATTGCTCTGCTTAACAAACTTATCTTATTATTCTTTAGCATTTACCTGAGAAGTGAGGGTTCTGTCATATAAATCACTGAATATTCCATCAGTTTTGGTTTATACATTAATTGTTAGCTTCTAATTGAAGTTTGAAATTTCTTATTGATTCCTCGGATCGATTTTCAGATGGCATGTCTGGAGGCTATGGACATAAATCATGCGATCAATATCACAAATATAAGGTCGGCCCGTAAAATTTAACGAGGCATTTTATTCATGGAATGTCACACTCATGATAACTAGAGAAAAACAGAACCATGCGTTTACCAGGACTACTAAGCTTGTTATTTATTGATTAACAATTTTACTTTCAAACTCATGCACATCTTAGTTCCTTTCTCTTGCAAGTATTAAGAAAAACATGGATCCTGCATTACCATATGTATGGCTTATTAGATGTAAACATTGATTTATTGCAGGAAGATGTGGCATTGATGGCCAAAATGGGATTAAATGCATACAGATTTTCCATATCGTGGTCAAGACTTATTCCAAGTTACTATCATCCTAACCAAATATTACTCTGCATCCCTAATACTTTTGCTGTTCTAAGCTTGACCTTGCGTCTTGTTCTTGTATATTTTCAGATGGAAAAGGACCAGTCAATCCCAAGGGGCTGGAATATTACAACAACCTTATCGATGAACTCATCAGCCATGGTGATTAATTGTTAAAACCATTTAATAAACACCTAAGACGAGTTGAGTGTATGCTAATTTTCCCTGGTTTTTCATCATAATGTAGATATTCAGCCACATGTTACATTACATCACAGTGACTTGCCACAAGCACTTGAGGATGAGTATGGAGGATGGCTTAGTCGCAGAGTAGTGTATGACATCTTGTGCTACCTGCACAAATAGCAAGTTGTACTAGATTTATTTATTTACTGTGATTAACATGTATATGTATTATATATACCAGGAGAGACTTCAAAACCTATGCAGATGTGTGCTTCAGAGAATTTGGAGACAGAGTTAAATACTGGACCACAATGAACGAACCAAATATATTTGTGATTGGGGGCTACGATTCTGGCTTCCTACCTCCGCAAAGATGTTCCACGTCCTCTATAAGTAATTGCTCTAAGGGAAATTCTTCCACTGAGCCATATATTGCAGCTCATAATATTTTGTTATCGCATGCTGCAGCTGCTTCATTGTATAGGAAAAAGTATCAGGTATTCTCATATGGCACTCCCTTCACTCTTTCAATCTGGAGAGTGAATGACACTGGTTGGATCACCCTATTGTAATTTGAATTATAGAAATGGTGAACTGTTAAATGCAGGGGAAGCAGCATGGGTTTATTGGGATTAATATCCTAACTTTTGTTCTTTTACCTCTAACAAATAGTACTGAAGATTTAGGTGCCACTGAAAGGGCAAAGGACTTGCTAAGTGGTTGGTAAGCATCAATGTGCCAAGTGAATACTTTCTGATATATCTAGTCACTGTAACTATACTATAGCATCTATAGTGTTATGATGTTGCAGGTTTTTGAATCCCATAATGTTTGGAGACTACCCTGACATGATGAAAAAGAATATAGGCTCCAGGCTTCCTTCATTCACCAAAACTGAATCAAATATAGTGAAGGGCTCAATTGATTTCCTTGGAATAAATTATTACTACACATCTTATATTAAGAACAGCCCTCAAAGCCAAGCGGAGGGCGGTGGCATTTTTGCGGATGTTGCTGTGGAAATGATAGGTATGTCATGAGCTGGTTTTTTCCCGACAGCAGCAGACATGAAAAATGATTTCTTTCGTCTTATATCACCTTTATCAGATGACATATCTTCGTTATGTCTCTATACTATTAGACTGGCATCACCCTTAGATTTTTTAAGACCAAGCAGCTCTGCTAATGACTCCGATAGTGGGTGCAGCATCTTATGTCAAATATGACTTCGGGAAATTATATGGGAAAAAAGTTGAGTGCTTATTAACAACAGTTTGAGCTTTTGGCACAACGATAGGTAGGATCTTGATCCTGAAATATACATAGACAATGGTAGTAAATCCTACTAGAGCTTGGTTAATTAATGAGGTCTCAAAATCAGTTTGGAACTGAGAAAATTGCTTAGTGAACGCAAAATGCTACAATCACATCTGAGGTAAGAGTTATGACAACTTTGATTCCTCTCTTCATGGTTTCAGAGAATATATTTAATGCTACAGCAATGCCTAGGGATTTGCAAAAGGCAGTGGACTCGTTGGAGCAATCTTATGGCAATATTCCCCTTTACATCCATGAAAATGGTATGTCTTTGTCTTCCTCTGTCTCTGTCTCCTCCTCCCTGAACAAAACCAACGTCTTCATATAACTGTGCAGGTCAAGTAACACTACGTAACTCGTCATTGGATGATTGGCCAAGGGTGAAGTACTTGCATGGCCACATTAAGGACGTGCTTGATGCTTTGAGGTATCAAGTCTTTAATTTGACCTGTTCCATTGTCTTCTCTACTTTACTTGCAATGCTTGTCATTTTCTCACGAATATTAAGTTTCCTTTTCTTTTGGTTATCACTTACGTGCTCAAAGGAATGGATCGAACGTGAAAGGCTATTTTGTATGGTCTTTGTTGGATTTGTACGAGTTGCTGGGTGGATATAAAATCAGTTATGGACTATATTATGTAGATCTGAATGATCGGGAATTGAGAAGGCAACCTAAACTCTCTGCTAAATGGTACGCGAATTTTCTGCACAGAAGGACTATTGATCCAAAGGTCATCATAGAACTAAAGAAGAATGCACCAATGCCCTCTCTGCATAATGTCATCTAAAGACAATTTGCTTGTGCCCTAGAATAATTTTGTCATATGTAAGAATGAAGTTTCACGATGTATTATTAGATTATATATCCACTAATTGGATCACGAACTGATACTATGAATCATTAAATACTGTTTCTATCGATTCAGTGGGAAAAAGAAGAATCATCATCATCATCACATTTTCTTTTCCTTGTACGGGCAAGCGCACACGGCCTCAACAAAAGAGAAGAGTGACCAGTCAATTAAATACTAGGCAAAATTAAGATATTATTTCCTCCTACCTCTATCCTAGGACATCTTTTAAAATGATTTTCTTATACTTCTTTTAGGAAAAAAAAATTAGTTCTTAATATAATGCCAAAACAATTCTTTGAAATAATATAAGACAGGTTATTTAATATTTTACAAAATTATATATTTTTTTCAATTATACCTTTATTAAGGATTCTATATAAATGTGAAATAGAGGCTGTCATTTACTTTTATTATTAAATAATTTAAAATAGATATTTATATAATTGAAATGCAATATATAATAACCAATTTATTTAAACATCACTCAAAAAAATTATATAAATATAGTCTAAATCATATTAATTTTAATAGATTATTTTGCATTTAATAATTTATAAGATCTAAAATAAAAATATTTTTTTACTTATTAAAATGAAAATATTAATTAAAGTCATATTTAACTTTAATAAATATAATAAAATTTAGAAAAACTGTTGATATTCAGGTGTCCTAGTCATATCATAGAAATTTCAACCTACTTTATAAATAATTATTTAATTTAATTTTCATTAAAAATTTATTTTAACATTTTTAATATTATATAAAAATTTATATCCATTGTTAACATTTCATAACGAATATTGAGCCATTAGATTTTATATTGCTTGGGGTGTTTACTTGTAAAAGCACTGGAATCGCCTAGTAATAAATATTACTCCCTTCATTAAAAAATATAAAATATTTTTAATTGAATTTCACTCTTCAATAAACTAGTTACCTATTTTTAAATTAATCCTATCTTTTTATATTTATTCTTATAAAATACCTTATAATAAATATAAAGTCATTATCAATAGAAACAATTTTGAAAAAAAAATAATTTTATATTTTTAAATATTTAATTTTATAAAAAATATCTTTACTTTTTTAAACGAGCAGCGAATATGTATTATGCCAAAAACATACATACTATACATGAAGAATGCTGTATATAAGTTTGTTCGGTAAGATGGCACGAATGGGTTTTGGAAGCGGTGGGCCGATAGATCAAATCCTCTCACTGTGCTCTTGCCAACGTGAACGACAATAAACTGAATCGTATATCAAGCACCGAGTTTGTTCCCCTTTACCGAGTTGATGCGAGTTGCCAGCAATTTTGTTTGGGTTAGCAAGGGTCCCGAGTTTGGATGCAAGCTACCACAAGTTGCTGAGTAGAAAGCATAAACTAGCTAAGTCAATTGAGTTGACTCGGGAGTCTAACAACACTGGCCATAATAATAATTAAAATACCCATGCAACATTGTTTTGAAAAATAATAAATGAAATATGGTTATAGTTTAAAAAATAATTATGTAAATCATATAGTGTCTTATATTTTTAATCAAGTAAAGTTTTTTAAAAAAATGCTCTATATTATAGTGTGGACGGCCCGAGGAAACTGGGATTATATTGCATGAGAACATGCACCAGATCCCACTACTTTCGTGGTAGTGCATCGACATGGTCGTGGGTCTGCTCGTGGATTCTCTGGCAACGTTCCCAAACTCAAGATATGTGTGTTTTGGCTTCTTTTTTTTACGATCAATTAGGATTCACCTCTAATTTATGATAAATATTTTTATGACTAATTTGATCTCTTTAAAAAAATACTAAACTTTTAATTAAAATTTTAAAAATAAAAAAGACTCTATATTTAATTAAGAAGCATTATTTGTAATATCTAAAAAGCTAAAATAAACTGATAAATGACAAAATAAAAAATTCTTAACTTTTTTCAATAAAATGATAATATTACATGATTAATTGTGTTCCCCGGGAATTGATCTAAATCGGTTGGAACAAATTTGTATCCAAACATAAGATTGCATGATCAAGAGCTTCTCCTATCACAAGCCAAGTTTGGCTCAGACTAATTTAGGCGAATGTCTGAGAAAACCAAGGCTCGGTCCAGGTGTCAAAAGCCTATCAGAGAGTTTTGAGATTTTGGTTTGTTGGTAAACTAAAGACATTCTTGATTATCTTAATATTTGGAGGAGTCAAAAACAACACAGAAAGATGCAGAAGTAGGAGAATACGAAAGTGGTGTTGTTAAAGCTGTTAACTGCAGCTCTGACATTATACTGGTGACCCATTTATGAGAGATGATTTCATTCCTGATTTTCTCTTCGGCGTTCCCGTACATAGCTTCTAGTTCATATTATAAAACACGCTCATCTAGCTAACTATTTTATCAAAATAAAAATAATAATTAAGTTTTAAATTTTATTTAAAAACAATAAATTTCTAATCTTACTATTATTTAAATGAAAAATCTTTATTTTTTCATCACACGTTTTCTTCTTGTCACCTGCTTTGAATACGTCAAATCTAAAGTTAATCATGAGGCGAGCTGTCCATTTATCTGATTGCCACGGTTCAAATTTATTTGCATGATTGTGTTCCGTGTCTTTAATGGGAATTTGGATAACTTCAAAGGTTAAAGGTGCAGCTGATGAAGATAGGAGAACATCAACTGTATTTGTTACCTTCTCATATTAGATCAGTGGCAGAACCAGAATCCTAAGTCAGGAGAGACAAAATCATTTATATATTTATAATTTAAAAAAATAATAAAAATTATTTAATAATTATATACCTTATAAATTTTTTCTACATGGTTTCATGTTTTGGAATTGTTAAACAATTGGCTCATTATCAATACCTTTAAATATATATTTTTCAATATAGCTCATGAGATAATCATTCATTTGTGGATTCCTAATTCAATTGTATAACTGAATTTTTACAAACTTTATAATAGAAAATGCTCTTTCAACTATTCCTGTGGCAATAGATAACACCATTACTAATTTCAAGAAAAGGTAAACTAATGGATAAATAACGTGTCTTTCAGTTTCAACTAATTTTTTTACAAATTTGTTTTGAGATTTCAAACAATGTGAGCGAAATTATTTTTTTTTCTTATTTTCTTAAAGGTTTAATAAATGTTAATTTTTTTATAAAACACTATTACTATTTGGGTGTATTGAAATTGTGGCTAAAATTTATTGGGCTTTTGAGTTAAAAAAATTAATTTTAGATCTAAGTTAAAAATAATATGAGATGGTTTAAAATATAAACTATAAAAAAGGGTGCAAAATATAAATGTCTATATTCCCATTCTTATGTAAGTAATTTTTTTCATCTGAGGAGGGGCATATGCCCCCCCTAAATACATATGGCTCTACCATTGTATTAGATACGTTTGTGCATATTTCAAGAGTTTTTATATGTTGATACATTGACATAGACAATCAAGCAAGTCATCAATTATACTCCCATTCAAAATTTAAAAAGTTGCAATAAATTTGTTGATAACTATTAGGGCTACCCAAAAACCAAACTAGACCGGGTTTTGACTCAACTTAAGGTTTGGTCTGAAAATGCTTCAGACTATATTTTACAGTTCGAAGACTGGTCTGGCCCGAAGCAAACCCGATGACTAACCAGACTAGGTATTGTCTACCAAACTCGTGGATTGGTTTAGGAGACCAACAATTTTTTTTTAACTTGAATAAAAACTTTAAAAAAATCACAGAACACCCATTTAGGAACACAAGAACATGGTTAAAAACCTAAGGAAACAATCTATGCAACAAAATTGATGAATCAATCAAATACTAAAAAAAACAAGAAGAAGAACAAGAAGAAGAAAAGCAGAGACCAAATCTAGCAACGACGCCCATGGAGGACTTCGAGAATGGTAAATGTAACACCCTCAAATTTACAAACCGATTTTTCGTAAATTATTAAAACCATTATCATGGTAGAAAATTTTCTTACCATGATACATCTAAAACATAACACAAGTCTTAAAATATCCAAAAAGGCAATTAAAACCATGAGGGACAGACATAATCCTCATGGCATGATATTCAAATCAGATCATAAATCAAGAGGGACAGACATAATCCTCTTGGTCATATAAATACTTTTAATAAAAAGGATTAAAGTTTACATGCTTCACAAAGAAGATATGTCTTAAGTTGACACAAGATACATTATATAATCCAAAATAAGAGGCAACGTAAAAGATGGTGTCTCATACACCATAGTTACACCTCTGGTGCTTTATCGACCGGACTCGCTCCTGTAAAAATATTAACCACGGGGAATGAGACTTAAAAGTCCCAGTAATCAAAAATTAATATGTAATGATGCATGCGGTTGTAACTAATCACGCGATTGCTAAGTGGGCATACAAAATATTTAACCGAACAATATTTTCAAACAAACCGAACAAGGATTTAATTTGCATGACTGTACCTTATATCCTCCTTTCGCCATGCTCGGATGCCAAATCACCCGGCCAAAGGTGAGTTCGACCAAGCAACACGCCACTCATTGGGTCCAATGAGGGCTTACCACGTGGTAGTAATTAACCGAACAAAAATTTCCATTAACACCATATATTAAAATACCCTGACAAGTTATGCATCATTCAAATATCCAAACAGAAATATATCCGAACAATAATATCTCATCATGATAAACAAAAATAAATTTTTGACTCACTTGACAATAATTTCAAACAAGTATATATATACAATATTTATTTTCATTAATTCATAATTTTTCCAAACAATAAAACAACACATAACCATTCACAAACACACCCATCACAACACATTAATAATGGTTACCTTGTGTCTTGAATAACAAGTTCCCCTTCACAACTCCTCTTTCACCATTATCTTTGTCAATATAATCTACATAATTATTTCACAATACTATATATTAATTTTACATTAAAATAAATAACTATAATTTAAAGAGTTAGAAAGTCTTAGATCTATAATTCATATTAACACTAATTTAAGATTTATGCCTCATTTAACTTCTAAAATTCTTTTCTAAAATTCTCGTACCCTAATAAACTATATTTTTTTATCCTCAAATCACTTTTAGTATCACAATTTCATCCTTCTATATTCTAAAAATTTATCCAAAAATAAATTAAAAAATTTAGAATTATTCTAAAGCCTCAAATCACCTTTCTATAACCTCAAAAATACCTATTCATATTTAAATAAATATTTAATAATCATAGGTTTATCCCTACATTTCAGATTCCACATAAATTCAACCATATAGATCTAGCTTTTAACTCAAAAATTTTAAACATGAGTTTCAACCTCAAGAAAATATTATATAATATTTATTATATCCCTAAGAGTTTTAACCTATATTTTTAATCTATCATATCATCAGATTAACTATCCTATAGAAAAATCCTAATCAGAATATTTACTTTATCCTACAAAATAATCATATCACTAGAAAGCTAATATTATTTAAAAATAACTATAAAATTAATTTTATAATTAAATAAATTTTTAAATACTAATCTAAACAGGAAAGTTAGAACATACCTGAAGAAAAAGAAAATAATCTCCTCTTGTGAAAAAACGCTGAGCAACGTGAGAAGAAAAGAGAAAAATAATATAAAAATGGGATTGTGGGTCCTAAAATTATATTATTAAAAAAAATATAGGTCTAAATTTAATTATTCAAACCTTTAGACCATTACTTGCAGTTTTCTCTAAATTGTATCTTAAGCCCTTAGCTGCAATTTTCACAAATTGCAAAATTTTTCCTTTTGCTTCTGCCGCTCCTTACGCATGCGCCTCCTCCTTTTATATGTGAGGAGGCGCCTCCCTTTCCCACATCTAAACGACGTAGGACTTCCACAGTACCTCTTTTTTTTTACTTTCTTTCTTCTTTTTTTTTTACTCACACACACACACATAATTTTTTTATTATTCTAAATCTTAAAATTATATCTTAATAAAATATTTATTATATAATTTTTAAACCTAAGTTTTAAATTCATAATTAAATTTCTAACCATATTATTATTTTTAAATAATCTCAAATAATAGAAATTCCTATTATTATCATCATTTTTTTAATAAAAATTTAAATTTCACAACAATGTTTTTTTTATCTAAAAAAAATTAGGATGTTACAGTAAATATAATGAAGATAATTTTAGGCAAACTAGACGCACAGACTTAGAGGAGGATTGGATGAGGAATTTCCAAAACACGATAAATAAATCTCTAGATGAAGCGAAGAACTTCACAAACAGAGCAACGGAAGGAGGAAGGAGAAAGGGAAAAGGAGAAAGCCAAGATGGGGGAAGAAAGGGAAGAACACTAATGGTTACCGCAAATGGCAAGGACGGCTCTACCAACAAAGCAAAAGATGATATCATGCTTTGTGAAAAAAGGAGAGAATCTGGAATGAAAAAATTTTAGAGAAAATTTGAGAAAATAAATGGAGTATGTGTATTTGGCTCCAAAAAAAATGGAGTATGTGTATATATATATTACTTTAAAAAAATTATAAATATAAAAATATATGACCACTGGGTTGGATTGGACTACGTAGTTCTAAAAATCAGTCCAAGACCCAGTCTGACCCGATAGACCAACCCGATCTAAATAGATTGCTTCAGTGTTTGGGTTGCTTATTCCTTATTCAGACTGGGCCAGGTTGGATCAGGTTGATCGGGTTTTGGGTTTTCTTGCACACCCCTAATGTTTTGCTCATTTTAAATTAACAAACTTTACTGAGTTCACCTCCTAATGCTTTTCGAGTAATAATATTATGGGCTTAAAGAGCTAATCTTTTGTAATGTAATGAATGAAGTTTTGAATCTTCATTAAAAGATGTACTTTGCATTTAATACCTTATCATGACTTGAACCAATGGTGGAGCTACATTAAATTGAGGAGGTAACTACAGCCCCCTCACTTTGAGAAATATTAAAAATTTAGTGTATAAATTTTTTTTCCTTTAGATCATAATATAGAACATCTTTTAAAAATCTTACTTGATCCAAAATATAGAACATTGAATGACTTTTATAATTATTTTTCCAACTATACCATACTTTATTTATTACTCTTTCAAAAGATGATACACTAAAATTTTAATTATCATTATCAAAATACTTAAGTAGGATATTTAATGAAGGTAAAATTAAAAAGGTGTAAATTTGGTTAAGAAATTAAAGTTTCTACTAATATTTTTCTAAATCATAAATTAGTTATCAATGTTTTATATTTTAGTTTGAAGGGAGTAATATCTTATATCCATGGCCTTGAAATTTAAACTACTTGGCACTTGCCCTTAAGTTTGAATATTTTGTACCCTCTGCTCTAGAGTTTTAAGACATTACACCTTACCACCCAAGGATTTAGCTCCGCTACTATCGCAAACATAATTATTTCTACTTGGAGGATTGCGTACGATGAAAAAATTGACACAGTAAAAAAAATCACTATTGTAAAAAAGGTGAAAAATATTTAACTTTACAAAAGAGATGATCATTCTTTTTGGGGGGGTTATAAAGGGATGGTTACCACAGAACCTAAACGGCCTAAATCATTCCTATGGAGCTAGACCAAATGGGGCCTTAATTTCAAGTATGATTATATATATATATACATATAGAGAAAGAAAAAAAATAAATTTTTTAATCATTTAACTTTTAACTCACTTATAACTTAGTTTCTCAATTATGACTCATTGTGACCTAATCCCTCAACTTTTGATTTACCTATAACCCAATCCTTATTTTTTTAATTTTTTTTAAAAAATTTTATCAAATAAGAGGAATAAAAAAATGCTTATATATTATTTTAAAATATCCTCTCCTTGCTCATTAATGTGAGATATAAGCTAACATGAAAAAAATTAATAAAAGTTTAGGAACTAATTTATAAGTGATTCAAATGTTGAGGGATTGAGTTATAGACGAGTCATAATTGAAAAATTGAGTTACAGTAAATTATAGTTAAGAGACTGAGTTATAAGTAACTTAAAAATTTAAGGATTAAAAGATTAATTTTTTTTTATATATATAATCTTTGAAAAAAAAAGGAGAGCCTAACTCAAATACAAGAAATAAAAAAGATGAGGGCTCAATTCCCAAAGTCTCATGATTTTTTGCTTTTAACAAATAATTGTAATCATCATTCATCCACATAGACTAGGTACTCAGGTTAGGGATAGAACTGAAAATACGAACAAGCCTGATCTTTAAAGATTTGGTCCTTATAGGCTCAGCCTTTAAGAGCTTGAGCTCTAAAACCTAATCTTTAAATATCTTTGGAGGGTTTAAAGCCAAGCTCGTAAGCCCTTTTTTAAAAAATAAAAAAATACAAAATTAAATATTATAAATTAATTAAAAATTTTTAAAATTTAAAAAATTAAAATTTTTAAAATTTAAAAAATTAAAATTTTTATAATTTTTTAGAAATTAAACAACACACATTTAGAAATCTAGTAATAAAATTTAAATCTTGATTAAAAAATAGTTCATTTTTTATAAATACACAAATATAATAATTATAAAAAAATAAAAAATATTAAAAATTTTATATTATACACTGATATTTGTTAAATTATTAAATTAATTTTAAAATAAATTAAAATTAATAATAATATAATACGTGTAGGATCAAGTGAGTAAGTCATTGACTTCAAACAGAAGTTTTACCAAAGAAAATAATAATAATAATAATATAATAAGGCTTGAAGGGTTGTCTGAATCCAAATTCTTTTTTATAAGGCTTATCAAGATTAAACTTTTAAGCCTGATTATTTAAAAAAATTATTTTTAAAAAGTGAACTTTTATTTAAATAAAACTTTTAAATTTTATCCTTATTTTCGACTCTATTAAAAATATTTTTGGGCCAAATAGTCAAAAAGCCCGAAGAAGTTAAAACCCGGATCGGCTGCGGCACTGTCAGGAAGCAGCATCAACTATGGCTTCCGAGAAAGAAGCTGCTCTTGCAGCCGCTCCTTCTGATGCTCCTACCATGTAAGATCAGCTTCCCACTCATTCCTCCCTCTTCTTCGCGTCGTTTCTCTAGCTACTTTAATTTGATTTTGCATTTCCAGTTGTCATCGCTTTATTTAACCGAATATCTCCTTGCCTGAATTTTTGTTTTCGGGGTATCTTCTTATCATTTCGCTGAATCGCTGTTTGTACAAAGCCCTAAAATAATTGCTTTTTTGGTTTGGTTAGATTTGATGCATGAACGACCTTTTGTTTTAATATAATCCGCAATCCTTCTTGACAAAGAAAGTTCTATGACCTGTTGGAAGAAGGCTACCGTGAATGTTTATGGGCGTCTTTTTGCTACTTATGCTATAAAGATGAATGCTTGAAGTAATCCTCTTTATTTCAAACTGTCTCTTGCATTTTGATGGAATTTAAAATGAATAAATGTCCCCAGTGATGATGAATATGTCGTGTGCAGCCGCAATCCTATATTTGATTTTCACTGCCCGAGGGTTTGTGTTGAGCAGGATTTTTAATCAGATGTTTATTTTGAAAAATCTGAATACGTAGTATTGAACTTTGATATCTTTACTTCTGTATCCTATGATGCGCAGATTTGACAAGATCATCAATAAGGAAATTCCTTCTACTGTAGTCTACGAGGATGATAAGGTACTGCCTGACGTTCTACTTTTGTCCTCAACTTACCTTCCTTACAGCTTTTTACCCTTTTTCTCAATTTCTTTTGGGAGGTATTGAGTAGTATGTCAACATGCTTGGCTTTTTTAACCTTCATATTTCTATTAGGGAATTTGAGGTATCTAACCATGCTTCAAATGTCACTTCTATAAGAGAAGATAACATTCAGACTAGGTAGGAAACATATGTACGTGTCTACGTGACATGAACACAATGACCCTCCAAAATTTGAAGTTTTCACTTGTAATTTCAAGTTTTGCGTAGTGTTCTGTGGTTCTGCCTTTTTTAAGACTTGACATGGGCCTTATACGGACAACTTGGTTTTTGAGGGTTCATGCTTCATAATGTGGAAAATGATTAGATTTACATTGAAAAACACAATTATGAGGAAATGGCTATGTTTTAAAATCCAGTTGAAATGTTCTAGAGTTCACAGTTGTATTTATTCAGTTTGATGGAAGTCCTGGCCCTCATCTGTTTGTTTCTGAAGTCTCTTATAACATTTTCCTTACCTTTAGGCTGATTGATAAGGCGAAGATCTAAAATGGTCGGAAAGGTTTTTAGAGTTCAACTGTAATTGTGGGAGATTGATTCCTCTCTAGTACTGCATTGTATACGCTGGGAGGGTGATACAAAAGGGTGGAAATATGTATGCGTTTTGTAGAAATTTATGATCCTATTTTGTTTCTTTTCTATTTTCCAGGTCCTTGCCTTTAGGGACATTAACCCTCAAGCTCCCGTACACATTCTAATCATTCCAAAAGTGAAAGATGGGTTAACTGGGTTGTCCAAGGTACGCATACCCGTTCATCCTTTTCTAGTATGATGCAATAAGACCTATTAATTGGGAAAATGTTGTAGGGCCATTCTGGAAAGTCTTGGCTTTCAAGGTTTTGATGTTTCCTGTGATCATGTTTTTATGATATGAGTATATGCTTTTGTATCCCCACTAATCTTTGTGGATATGGGGCGTAAATGTTAGGTGACAAATGTTGAGGTCGCTTTTAGTTTTGTAAAGCCATTGCCAACATCAACATTTTAACTTGGAAATGTTTGTGTTTTTGGACTTTAATGTTATGCCTATTTTCTCCAGGCTGAGGAGAGACACTGTGAGATTCTTGGCCGGCTTTTATACACTGCCAAGCTGGTAGCCAAGCAAGAAGGCCTTGATAATGGCTTTAGAATCGTAATTAATGATGGACCAAAGGGATGTACGTGTCCTTTTCCATATCAATTTGTTTAAGTTGATCAGTTTTGCTCTCAGCAGACACGCCTACATAAACAGGCTTCCTTTTTATGCACAGTTTTCAAATCTAGCTAAAACTTTGTTTTTGGCAGGCCAATCAGTTTATCACATTCATGTGCATCTTCTCGGGGGACGACAGATGAACTGGCCCCCTGGCTAGGATGTGGGAAATGATTCATAGTGAGCCATGGCGCTGCCGCTGGCAAGATTCATTTGGCAGTAATACTACTCTTGGTCATATGTTCTTTTCTGCTGTTTATTAAATAACAGGTTCAAGTAACCACTGAGTTGTGACTAGTTACTTGAGGAAACCGAATTAAATGACCAGTATTTATACGGTTGCAGTGTTGGTTGAACTTGATCTAAAACTAAAGCGATTTCGTTGTTGATGGCCTTCTCTTGTACTTTATTGGACACCCTCCAGTTGCAAGTAGGTGTACAGATATAAAGAGTGATAGCTATCGAGGGTTGAGTCTAGTGAAATAAGTTAGTTTCTCGTAATGTGATGAATTACTTCTCGAATCCTCATTGAAAGATATGTTCATATTTAATGTTCGATCATGTCTCAAACATAATTATCTCAAATAGAAGAATATTTTTGAGCAATCAAAAAAAAAAAAAGTAAATGGTGACATTTTAAGTCTAAGTATGTCTTTGAGTAACTAACATCACATTTTCTATGGCAATGTTTGTGATGAAGCAGCTTTTTTCTGTCTGGTCAACAGTTCTACAAACAAAAGATGTTGAAAAAGATGACGTTCCTTGTTTTCAACCACTTCGAGCAGCATCATAGCTCATGCATTTAGAGCAATAATAAAGGAACCAGCAAAAGGCCAACAGAATGAACTGTTTGTTACTTTGTTATGTCATGGATGCCTTGATAAACACGCAAGTTTAATAAAGACAACTAGGTGTCAGTTTGGATACACCATCAAATTATCTGTATGGAAATCATTTTTTGATCAAAATTATCCAAACACTCTCACTTTTACACAATTAATTGTCTCACCTCAAAATGCTTTTAGCTATAAGATGGTTTCCCTAGCTTGTCAATATCAATTATGTGCGTTCAAACTCTTATTATTTGTTAGAATTTTTAAACTACCAAATATACTCTTGGCATTTTGAGACTTGTTATTTTTTTTATTTTTTTTAATATAAGGTCATGAAAAAATCTGTGCAAAATGATGACAAATTGAATTATGTCAATGTACAAAAAATTTCTATCTCTATTGGGTAGGAAAATAAAAAATCATAATGTCTAAATTATCATTTATTCAAAAAATTAACGCATTTATTTTCTTATTTAAAGATGTAATCAAACATGATTATTTGGTGAGACTTATGATTTATGGAATTTTGTGGTTTGTGATGTCTTCCTCACATCCAAATATATACCTCTGGCATTTGTTTTGATAAATAATTTTGTATGTGTGTTTTTCGAACGTTAATTATATATGGGTTAAATAATTTTATAAATATTAAATGTATCACTTATAGTTTTAGGTTAGATAAATCAAAATGAAGTTAATAATATGGGAACAACTAATCACTTCATTCTTATAGTTTTGGTTTGGTTATAATTCAATTCTTATAATTTTGATTTTGTTGTAACTCAAACTATTAGTGTGTACCCCTCTAATTAAAAATATTAATCATATTAGTCTCTAAATTTCAAAATAATTTTAATCTTTCTAATAATAGATAGAGATCAATATTTTAAATTATTAAAATTATAAATATTAAATTGCAACAAGTCAAAATTTAAAAGTTGAGTTATACTTAGATCACAAATTATAACTATAAGATCAAAAGCTTAATTTTTCTTAATAAATATTATATGCAAATTTGTCACTATTTACCCTAAAACTCATTTCATTCATTAGAGCTCAATTTATATATTATCAATCAAATCTTTAATTATTGTAAAATTGATGTTTAGTATTTAAAAATTATATATTTCTCCTTGATTACATTTATTTGAACTTAGATATATTGATCTATTTTTTACACACATTAAATTATTAATATTAATATAATTTAAATTTCTATAATTAATCATGTATATAAGTTAAATAATATATTTTACTTGTTAAATAAAGTTGAAGAAATTCAATAATATTAGATACAACTTTATCAATATTTTAATTTTCAAAAGCAATGTTTTTTTTATGGTAATTTACACATTTAAAATTGATTTTAACTAAATGATCTAAACATCTTCATAATCATAATATCCAAACATGATTGATTTTTTTCATAATCAATTACATCCAATTGAAATTCAAAAGACCTAAATCTTAAAGAAGTTGAAAAATGATGAAATTTCAACTCTTCAACCACTTATGGCAGCACCAACTGTACATTTATAACAACAATAATAATGGAACCGGCGACAATGTCAACTTGTTACATTTTCTTAAATTCTGAGTACAATAATTAATTGTGCACTTATATAACGAGTGCTTATGCCATGACACATTAAATTTGAACATACCATATGTGAGCTGAATGGTACTTGCCAGTTGCCATGGCTTCTCTTGTGCTTCTTTTGAGGTTATATATGCGCCCAGAAAATGAAATCTGGAATTCCGCTGTTACTGCCGCCTCTCCTGCAATCTCTAGAGATGCTTCAAGTCTGATTATTAGACGGAGCAGCAATTACAAAAAAGAGACAGATGAATTGGTAAATATTCCAGAGGAGCCAAGAGTATGCGTCAACGTGATTTAGTCACAAAGAGAGAGATAAGTCACCCGGAGCATATGTTTTTGCTTCATGAATCGTTTTCAGTCAAAATACTGTCTGTTTTATTTTCCCCGGCTTGAATAATTTCCAATGTCTTCTGTACATGTCTTCTGTTTATTTATGCCTCTGTTTTGGTTTATGGTTGTTGGTGTTTTTAAATTTCTGTTTTTTACTTGTTTAGATTTGTAATGTTCTGTTAGCTTGGTTAATGTGACTTCAGTTTTTATTAAAAAAAAAAAAAAATCTATTCCTCTGTTTTGAGCTTTGCCCCTCATCCCCTTTTCAACATAAAATATCCGGCGTTCAAATTCATTTCTGCATTAGTCTGTCTAGCCGGCAATATTTTAATGGCTTAATGAGTACTAGCATCATCAAGCTTTTTGCCCTCGCACGAACTTTGTTTTTCTTTAAAAAAGAAAAAAAAAACGAAACCCAGAAAAATTAGATGACCTTAATCCTTCAAAAAATTCTTCAACTGAGAATGAATTCTTCAAAAATTGGCAAATTAAATAAAGTATAATAATGCATGCACTTCATGACCTTTTCTACCATGAACGGCAACATTAAAAAGTTGTAACAGTGAAGAGGATGAATGGTTTTAAGCCTCTCCATGTTCAATCTTAAGTGGCATTATGCAGCAGAGAGCATATACGCATTCTTAAGTTCTGCAGTGATCTCTGGATTCGTGCTCCTCTTACGCAGAAAATTGGTGTACCATCTAGCAGATAGTTTAGGTTGCCTCTTCAAATCAGGATCATCCAGATCTATGTAATATAGACCATAACTGGTTTGATATCCCGTTATTAACTCGAACAAATCCAAAAAGGACCATACAAAATAGCCTCTCACGTTCGATCCGTTCCTTTCAATAAAGAAAAGGAGAGTAAAAATCCATTAGCACTCCTGAGTCATAGCACGTTCATCGGAAGTGGAGTTGAGAAGAAGAAAATCATGTTACTTAAATGAATCAACCACACTCTTAATGTATTCATGCATGAAGATGACCCTTGGCCAGTCATCCAATGATGAATTCCGTAGTGTTTGCTGACCTGTGAAGTTCAAAGACTTAGTTACCACCGTACGCCACTTGATAATGGAGGAAGGTTAGTTTTGTTAAAGGGAAACGTTGACTGAGACAGAGGAAGAAGCAAACCATTTTCTTGGATGTAAATTGGAAAATTGCCATAAGAGATCTTCAATAATTCCAGCAAGCTTTTCAGTCCCCAGGGTTGGATTGCAATCTAATCCAAAAGCTTAGTGAGTGTTGGAAAACTTAAGCTCCGTCATTAAAACAAGAGGAACGAAACCTCATTTCAACGCTTACCTCAATGCCATTTGTATCATTCCCAAAACCTGCTACAAGCACAAATAAAATTAAGTACTTGCCTCGATTCCTTTCATTTATATAATTTACAAATTAAGACATGCTTAATTAGGATTTAATGAAATGCAAGTTGGGTTTGTATAGCAGGAAAACAGCCTAGAACTGCCTACATAAAAATGTGACAGCCAAATCCGCCACAATGTCTCTTTCCCCCATTCGTAAGCTGCTGGGGTTGTTTTTCACATGACACGTGAAGTAAAAATTTATTCCTAGGAAGTCAATTGAGCCCTTCACCATATTTGATTAGCTTTAGTGAAGGAAGGGAGCTTCCAGCCCGCACTTCTTTTAAGTGTCTCAGGATACTCACCAAACATTATGGGATTCAAAAACCTGCAACATCACAATCACATGGATACCATAAGAGACAAATTTAATATAGACATATTAAAGAGTAATCATGAATTACTGCTTACCAACCCAGATTGAAGTCTTGTGCCCTTTGAGTGGCGCTTAAATCTTCGGTAGTATTTGTTAGAGGAGATTAGTTCATAGTGAAGATATTAATCCCTACAATCCACGCTGCTGCTCCTGCATTTGGTATAAAATAAATATTACTGAGATGGTGATCCAATTAAATTGTCGTTCGCTCTTGGAATTTTGAGAGGTTAACCTGATACTTAATCCTATACAATGCAGCAGCTAATGCATGTGCTAGCAACATATTATGGGCTGCCAGATATGGCTCAGTTGAGGAATTGCCCTTGGAACAGTTAGCGATAAAGGATGATGAACATCGCTGAGGTGGCAGCATTCCGAAATCATAACCACAGAGCACGAATATATTTGCCTCGTTCATCGTAGTCCAGTGTTTAACTCTATCACCAAATTCTTTGAAGCACACATTCGCATATGTTTCAAAGTCTTTCCTGCAGAACAGCATGCACACAATAGATATGTTTGTCACAACTCAAAGTGAGTTCGTTTTGCATAACTAGCAAGGCAGGTGGCACAATTGGTCTTACACTGCTCTACGACTAACCCATCCTCCATACTCGTCTTCCAGTGCTTGTGGTAGGTCACTATGATGCAGCGTAACATGTGGCTGGATATCTACAATAGGATGACAAAAGTAATTCCGCATATATATTTGAAAACTTTTGTTAATCTTTAAGAAGTTGGAAACTAGCTTTAAAACATGTGTATATGGAAGAGCTTGTATTGGGGGTTGAATATATAATGTTTACACGTAATCACCATGGCTTGTGAGTTCATGGATAAGAATGTTATAATACTCTAGTCCCTTGGGATTGACGGGTC